TACTGAATCCTGGACCTAAGAAGTTATTCTTCCTATGAGCTGAAGAAAATGAATTCCAAAGTGAATATCATTCAGTACTTTTGTCTGAAGATGGTAACAACACCAAAACGTCGCACACTATTTATTTATTTGGATTTGGTCTTATTACTTATCCTTCTATAGAAGAAAACACAATACAATGAATGAGATATAGTTTTGTAAAGAAACTTTTCCCTTGGAAGCCTGATATTTTCACTTCAATATTGATACAAGGTATTATGACAAAGCAATAACGCGCCATCTATACATATAAAATGAAAGGATTTAAAAGCAAGAATGTTTCTTTTATACATAATACAAACTTCAACTGCCCTTATTGCAATGAAAAAATATATTGGGATGGCTTGGCTCAACAGTGGTGAACCCTCCCAGTGGTTTCGCCAATTTAATCCACTAGACCCCTTCTCAGAGCTCTAATACAGTAATGGATTATTCTGCTTATATACGCAACATTGAAGAGTGGAATCTCAGAAATGGTTTTCAAGAAAACTATGGACATAAGCTTATAAGACAGTAGAATTAAATATTTGCATCAAGCAATGCTCTTCCGCAAACAATAAAGACAAGGTCAGTTAGGCATAAATTAACACAAAGCAATAACGTACCAAGGGATTATAAGCACAAGGTAATAAGACCAAATCCAAATAAATAAATAAATAGTGTGTGACATTTCGGCAACAGCATTGTTACCATCTTCAGACAAAATACTGAATGGGTAATAAGACCAAATCCAAATAAATAAATAGTGTGTGACGTTTCAGTAACAGTGTAGTTACCAGCTTCAGACAAAAGTACTGAATGGGTAATAAGACCAAATCCAAATAAATAAATAGTGCGTGACATTTCGGTAACAGCGTTGTTACCATCTTCAGACAAAAGTACTGAGTGAGAAAAAATATCACAGCATGGTTTAAATAGTTGTTTTCAAACTTGATAACAGGAACTATTTGAAATATGCTGTGATATTTTTTCTCATTCAGTACTTTTGTCTGAAGATGGTAACAACACTGTTACCGAAACGTCACACACTATTTATTTATTTGGATATGGTCTTATTACCTTGTGTTTATAATCTATAATCCAAATTGTGTCTTATCGATACAAGGGATTGTTTTATTGAAAGTCAAGTGTTATAGAGTCAGTTAAGATGGTTATCTCAGCATTTATACTGCTAGTGGAGACATGTTGTTGTCAACACTTAACAGGGTGTTGAATTATAGTCGGTTAAATAGGCTGGCTGAAGGAATGATTAATGAAAAACTGTTGAATTAGATGATAAAGCACAATTTGGATTATAGATGATAATAAAAGAAAATAAGACCTAATCCAAATAATTTATTAGTGTGTGACGGCAACAACATTGTCACCATCATCAGACAAAAGAATAAATGAGAAAAAATATTACAGCAGGTTCTTATATTGTGAATATAATTATAAAGACAATATAAGAACTTGCTGTGATATTTTTCTCATTTATTCTTTTGTCTGATGATGGTGACAATGCTGTTGCCGAAACGTGACACACTAATAAATTATTTGGATTAGGTCTTATTTTCTTTTGTTGAATTCGAGTCATTGAATTAAATATGGTAATTTAAAAGGGGGAAATGGTTGTGAATTGGATTATTGCTAGTGTTGAACTCTAATCAGTGTATTATAGAGGTTCTCTCTCAAGGTGGGGAAGCCTTCCTTGCTGAAGAAATTTGTACACATACACAACTATATTAGATAGTAAAAATACATATATTGGATTGAATAAAATATTTTATTTGCCAATATTTCGGTTGGCTGAACGCCAACCTTTCTCAAGGCATTGCATTATAACACTATGCGGCGCTGAGTTTGTGTATACAATAATGTAATGCCTCAACTCTGCCTTTGCCGGTCCCAAGCTCGGATAAAAAAGGAGGAGGTGGAGCAGTAGCAAGCTCGCTAAAAAACCTGGGTTCAGCTGGCCCGGCTGATAGTACCCTGTTAGGGCTCCTAATCCAGGGATACAGGATGAGCAGCGTTTGTACTCCATGTTAGGAGCGACTGCATATGGCGTCTGTTCTTCATGTCAGAGGCGGCCATTTCTTTTGGAGCTAAGTCGGCCTGCCACTGAGTAGTGCTCCCAGTCTTAATGACAACTTTAACATTCTACTTCACACAGTCATGATGGTTGTCAAACAGACACCATCAAGCGTCACAACTTGATATCCTAATATGATTGAGTGGAGATAAGAAAGAAGAAGAAGAAGATGTAATGCCTCGATAAAGGTTGGCGTTCAGCCAGCCGAAATAATGGAAAATAAAATCTTTTATTCAATCCAATATATACCTATTTACTATCTAATGATTTAAATATGGATTGCTCTATTTTCAGAACACAACTATATATATTCCCCTACATTTTATATACCCTTTATTTACTATTTATTATATATTTTTTTCACCTTTGTAACAATTGATTAGATTAGAAGAATCAATAAAATTGTTTAAATTGTCAATACTGTGCTTGGATTATGGATAAAAGGTAATGGGCGACAAGACCAAATTCAAATAATTTCAAACTACACTCATGGACAAAACTTAAGGAAGTGCAAAGTCTTTGTTGTCGCCAGTCGTCCATTTGTTTTTTTTAAGAGACAGAGGCAATTTTGTTCTCACTTAGTTATCTTGTGTCTTCAATAAAGGTCACTGTGTATCAAATATCTTTCAGAGTTATTGTCTGAATCCCGATATACATGCTAAAAGGTACAACTTCCTTAAGTTTTGTCTATGAGTATATATAAGTGTCTTCAATAAAGGTCATTGTAATATCTTTCCGAGTTATTGTCTGAATCCCGATATACATGCTAAAAGGTACAACTTCCTTAAGTTTTGTCTATGAGTGTATATAAGTGTGTCTTCAATAAAGGTCATTGTAATATCTTTCCGAGTTATTGCTGAATCCCGATATACATGCTAAAAGGTACAACTTCCTTAAGTTTTGTCTATGAGTGTATATAAGTGTGTCTTCAATAAAGGTCATTGTAATATCTTTCCGAGTTATTGCTGAATCCCGATATACATGCTAAAAGGTACAACTTCCTTAAGTTTTGTCTATGAGTGTATATAAGTGTGTCTTCAATAAAGGTCATTGTAATATCTTTCCGAGTTATTGCTGAATCCCGATATACATGCTAAAAGGTACAACTTCCTTAAGTTTTGTCTATGAGTGTATATAAGTGTGTCTTCAATAAAGGTCACTGTAATATCTTTCAGAGTTATTGTCTGAATCCCGATATACATGCTAAAAGGTACAACTTCCTTAAGTTTTGTCCATGAGTGTATATAAGTGTGTCTTCAATAAAGGTCACTGTAATATCTTTCAGAGTTATTGTCTGAATCCCGATATACATGCTAAAAGATACAACTTCCTTAAGTTTTGTCCATGAGTGTATATAAGTGTGTCTTCAATAAAGGTCACTGTAATATCTTTCAGAGTTATTGTCTGAATCCCGATATACATGCTAAAAGATACAACTTCCTTATTTTTTGTCTATGAGTGTATTTTTTTTAGAAATACTGTAGTGTCTCAATGAGAGACCTCGTAAAAGCATGGCAAAACTCAGTCTCTCTTTGAGGTAGCCTCTTATCAGAGTCATGTCAGACCAAGTCTCCGGGTGAGACAGGTACAGCTATGTTCTTAGGCAGTCTCATGGAAGACCACTTTACTTTCAAATTAAAAGATGTAAAATTGACACCGAATCTTAAAATAAAAGTACCATCAACACAACATAAGACCAAATAAATAATAAAAAGTGTGTGACATTTCGGTAACAGCGTTGTTACCATCTTCAGACAAAAGTATTGAATGAGAAATTTTACCACAGCATGGTTCAAATAGTTACTGTTATCAAGTGTGTAAACTATTTTGTTTACTATCTTGTATCAAGTGATAACAGTAACTATTTAAAACCTGCTGTGGTATAAATTCTCATTCAGTACTTTTGTCTGAAGATCTTAACAAAGCTGTTACCAAAACGTCAAACACTATTTATTTTTTGGATTTGATCTTATTACCTTGTAGTTCTTGTCTATAATCCAAATTGTACCTTATCAAAATTACCATCATTTTCAATAATTATCTTCCATATTTGAAAATTTTGAAATATATAAAATATAGCCACAATTTGGCTCGAAACATTTTCCTCCACTATCACTTCAGTATGAAATCCCTGTCAGATCTCCAGGAGATAACCAAGAGTGAACAAAATTGCCTCTGTCTCTCTAAAAAAAAAGGAAGACTGGCGACAACAATAACTTTGCACTTCCTTAAGTTTTGTCCATGAGTATAGATATGGCACAATTTGGATTATAGATTATAAACACAAGGTAATAAGACCAAATCCAAATAAATAAATAGTGTGTGACGTTTCGGTAACAATGCTGTTACCGAAATGTCACACAATATTTATTTATTTGGATTTGGTCTTATAACCTTATGTCCATGAGTGTAGTTTTCACTTATTTGAATTTGGACTTGTTTGCCCTTCAACTTTTATCCATAATCCAAGCACAGTATAGAACCTCTATAATACACTGACTAGAGTTCAACACTAACAATAATTCCAAGAAAATCTCAGTAATGTGCTGTTATATAGACTAATGTAGAAGAGCCAATTGTGGCTTGGAGAATGATGGGAAGAGGAAAATATTGACAGCAGTTTCCCTGTAGATTAATAAGCTCTGGATCATTTCCTTCTCCGGCTGTTGTTGACTCTCTCCGTGCTGTGGCTGATGTGGTAATTTAATTTCATACCTCATCCAAAAAGGTTAGAAATAATCAATATTTCTCCTTTAAATAGATTTTGATTTTTCGTTGAAAAGAAACTCATGCGGTGTAAACTTCAAGTGTTGATTTACAATCACAAGCCGCAGTGTATTATATTGTATTATAAGTTACTTTATGTATCATTTATGAACGGAAAAATACGTCCAGGGTAGCCTAGTGGTGGACATGGCATCTGCCCGGTAAGCGGAACATTGTGGGTTCGATTCCCATCCCTGGACACTTTTATTTTTCCGTTCATCATTACTCTTCATAATTCACCCTTTCATACCCCATCCAAAAAGGTTAGAAATAGTCAATATTTCTCCTTGAAATAGATTTTGATTTTTCGTTGAAAAGAAACTCATGCGGTGTAACTTCAAGTGTTGTTTTTTTAATTTAACTACCATTGACACGTGTGTATGCAGTGACATCTGTGACCAGCTGCTCTTAACAAGACCACATGTTGGGAGAGAACTTTTCTCTTCTATTTCTAGTTTGTTTTACATCATACAATAGGTCATTTATATTCTTTTGTCTGATGATGATAACAATGCTGTTACCGAAACGTCATACACTATTAATTTATTTGGATTTAGTCTTATTGTGATTTTATATCTATGATAAGGTACAATTTGGATTATAGATTAGAAACACAAGGTTTATTACCTGAGTGTGACATTTTTGCAATGGCGCTGTTACCATTTGATATAGAATATATATTTTTTTAAAGGTTATTTTTTGTTAGCGATTTTTATTTGAATGTGATCAAATCATTGCCTTTTTACCTGGAGATGAAAATGGGTAGTGTAAAGCAGTATTAAACATGTATGTGGTTGGCTTTTTAAAATTTATTTATCATGAAATATGTATTAGTCATAAAAAATCATGGTGGAGAATAGCTTCCTGCATTCATCACACTTTTTATAATTTAATTGATAAGGCACAATTTGTGTTTTTTTTTCCATTTTTAATTCTAAGAATAATTATCTGTGTTTCTCAGAAAACTATCTTCTTCTTATCTGCTATCTTGTTTACACACTTGATAACAGTACTATTTAAATCATGCTGTGGGGCTAGAAGACCTTACCATAAAGGCCAATTAGCCCGGAATTCATTTTCATTTCATTCAAATTTTTCATTCAGTACTTTTGTCTGAAGATGGTAACAACACTGTTACCGAAATGTCACACACTATTTATTTGGATTTGGTCTTATTACCTTGTGTTTATAATTTAACTGTTTTTCAAATCTCAACTGAATTACCTACTTTACTATAATTAAAAAACGGTGACTTTAATTCAACAAGAAGTATCTGTTCCTTGGAGTGCTGCCTATAAGAGGGTTGGCTATATATAGAAGAGTCAAATTGCATCTATCTCTATAGTTATACTGTTTAGAGGTTGGATCTTTGTTAAATTTCCATTTTCCCCTCAAAAGTTGCCTCAAGTGAACCTTTTCCATTCACTAGTGTTGCTTAAAGCTGTACAACAGATAAGACACATTTGGTCTTATTACCTTGTAGATAAGATATTTGATTGTAAGTGCTGGTGACTGATGCAGAGTTTGGTCTTATTATCTTGTAGATAAGACATTTGTGCTGGTGACTGATGCAGAGTTTGGTCTTATTACCTTGTAGATAAGATATTTGATTGTAAGTGCTGGTGACTGATTCAGAGTTTGGTCTTATTACCTTGTAGATAAGACATTTGATTGTAAGTGCTGGTGACTAATTCAGAGTTTGGTCTTATTACCTTGTAGATAAGACATTTGATTGTAAGTGCTGGTGACTGATTCAGAGTTTGGTCTTATTACCTTGTAGATAAGACATTTGATTGTAAGTGCTGGTGACTGATTCAGAGTTTGGTCTTATTACCTTGTAGATAAGACATTTGATTGTAAGTGCTGGTGACTGATGCAGAGTTTGGTCTTATTACCTTGTAGATAAGACATTTGATTGTAAGTGCTGGTGACTGATGCAGAGTTTGGTCTTATTATCTTGTAGATAAGACGATTGTAAGTGCTGGTGACTGGTGCAGAGTTTGGTCTTATTACCTTGTAGATAAGACATTTGTGCTGGTGACTGATGCAGAGTTTGGTCTTATTACCTTGTAGATAAGACATTTGATTGTAAGTGCTGGTGACTGATGCAGAGTTTGGTCTTATTATCTTGTAGATAAGACGATTGTAAGTGCTGGTGACTGGTGCAGAGTTTGGTCTTATTACCTTGTAGATAAGACATTTGATTGTGTGACTGATGCAGAGTTTGTGTGCAGCAGCAACCATGCATTTATCCAGCCGCAACAAGCACCTGATCCACTGCCTTCTCTTCCTCTCCCTCATCCTCATATTTGAGATTGTCACAGGGGGCATCCCTGTCTGGACATATTCCTTCGACAATGTAGAGCCTGTGGCCACATATGGCTATTTCTTCACTGTTGTCCTCTACTTATTTCGGGTGCTCACTCTGTTAGCGCTGCCCCAGTGTATCTTCAACTTCCTGGGCCTAATCATGTACAATGCCTTTCCTGACAAGGTGCAGTTGAAGGGTTCCCCTCTCCTGGCCCCCTTTGTCTGCATCCGGGTGGTCACTAGGGGGGACTTTCCGGACCTAGTCAAGAACAATGTCAACCGTAACATCAACACCTGCCTCTCCGTTGGCCTTGAAAATTTTATAATTGAAGTTGTTTCTGATAAGCCCCTCAAGTTGCCCCAGAATCCCCGGATCAGGGAATTAGTTGTTCCTACTTCCTATCGGACTAAAACTGGAGCCCTCTTCAAGGCCAGAGCTCTTCAGTACTGTCTGGAGGATGGAGTCACTCTGCTCAATGACACTGATTGGATCGTCCACCTGGATGAGGAAACTCTCCTCACTGAAAATTCAGTAAAGGGCATACTAAATTTTGTACTTGATGGCCGCTTTCAGTTTGGACAAGGTTTGATCACCTATGCCAATGAAACTATTGTCAATTGGCTGACCACCTTGGCGGACAGTTTCCGTGTTGCGGATGACATGGGCAAACTGAGGTTCCAGTTCTATGTTCTCCACCGTCCACTCTTCAGCTGGAAGGGTTCCTATGTGGTGACGCAGGCCGGAGCGGAGAAGAAGGTTTCCTTTGAGAATGGCCTCGATGGTTCCATCGCTGAGGACTGCTACTTCAGCATGGTGGCCTACCGCGAGGGCTACACCTTCAACTTCATCGAGGGGGAGATGTGGGAGAAAAGTCCTTTCACCATCTGGGACTTCATTCAGCAGCGTAAACGCTGGATCCAGGGCATCTTCCTAGTGGTCCATAGTCCTGAGATCCCCCTACGTAACAAGTGCTTTCTCGCTCTTGCTCTCTACTCTTGGGCAACTATCCCTCTGACCACGTCCAACATTATCCTCGCAGCTCTGTTCCCCCTTCCCTGCTGGCAGTCCATTAACTTCACCTGTGCCTTCATCGGTGCCGTGAACATCTACATGTATGTCTTTGGGGTCATCAAGTCTTTCAGCCTCTACCGTCTGGGTCCCTTCAAGTTTATGCTCTATCTCTCCGGGGCCTTGTGTACCATCCCCTTCAACATCATTGTGGAGAACATCGCAGTCATCTGGGGCCTCTTCTCTAAGAAACATAAGTTTTACATTGTGAACAAGAATCTTCTTCCTGCCCTCACTGTTTAACAATAGATCCTTTGCTGCCTCTATTTATACATAGTGTATACAACATTGTCTCTTGTAATATAACTTTTTGGCTGAGTGCTCTACACTTAATTGTATAAATTTATTATAATTTTTCACACAAATCTCTCTCTATGTACAATATTATATTATATATATACAAAATTTGTATTACATTGTAAGTTTTTTTTTTGTAATATTTATAAAAGCAATAATTTTCTCTCCTTGTTGAACTTTAAAAAAAAAAAATCTTTAAAAATATTTTACTTTATAGTTTTATTTTTTTTTCTCACTGTTTATAAAAATATGTAAAAAAAAGAACTTGGTAAAAAAAAAAGTCTTTTACACACATCAAAATGTATTCTATAAATCAAGATATTAATGTTTGTTGGGTTATGTTTTTTTTTTTTTTAGGAAAGAAAAAAAAAAATTTTTTGTGTGTTTGAGCGTGGAAAAAAAAAAATTTTATTTAGTTTTTAAATGTTTAGAAAATTTTAATAGGCCTTGTGTTGACTTTTTTTTAAGAAACTTTTTTTTTTTCAAGAGAATCAAAAGAGAAAAATTTTTTGAAAGCTACTTAACTTAATTTTTTCTTTTTTAATTTATTCCTCTTCTTCCCTTCAACACACCCCTCTTTTTCTTCTCCACCCCACCTCAATCATCATTAAAAAAAAAAGCTAACCAAAAAAAAATGGAAGTGATTGTAATTTGAGAAAGAAGAAGAAGAAATTAAATCAAAGTTTTGACGAGATTCCGCCCGAAGCTGGTGCTTGCTTGCTTCACTTTTTATTTATTTATAAAATCATCTGTGCTCTAGTCCCCTCATCAGTACACTTTTTACCAAAGTTGCATTTTCAGAATTCTTATAAGATTTTGCAACATTTTTCTCTTCTTTTAATAAAAAGTACAAAATTGGCCTTCTCTTTAAAAAAAATTGTATCTTTTTTTTTTTCTATCTTCTATTTGAATGCCTTGCTCTGAAAAATAAAATAAAATTGGTTCGTTGCAACTATATCTTGACTTTCATTAATATGGACATTATGTTTTAATGTGTGTTTATATACAGTAGAACCTCCATTAGAGGACACTCCTGTTAGAGGACATCTCCTATAAAGCACAGTCTTCATTTGAAAAATTACCATAAACACAAGGTAATAAGACCAAATCCAAATAAATAAATAGTGACAAACGTCACACACTATTTATTTATTTGGATTTGGTCTTATTACCTTGTGTTTATAATCTATAATCCAAATTGTGCCTTATCGAAAAATTACCATTTTTACTATTTAACAACTCTCTGCTAAGAAGACACCTCTCCCTAAAAGACACTTTAGCTCTGCAATCAGGTGTCTTTTACAGGGAGGTTCTACTGTATATATATTGTACGATTGACCCCTCCGCTTCTCGGGACGACGACGCTTCCTCCTTCATGGTTCACCCACCCAGGCTCCTGTTGCTCTACCCTGCAGACCACCCAAAGTCCTCCGAGAACCACCACTCAGTGGATCTCCTTTCCCCTGGCACTATCTCTCAGCCTTACCACTGGTGGGGGGACACAAGAGACTTACCAGAAGAGTA